AGAAATTGTATCGTTTCTTGCTCGTTCTTCTCCATAGGAATCTACACCTTGGAATGAGCAAATAGCTTCACTTTTAAATTTATATTGTTGTTGTTCAAAAGTGCCTTCCTGGTATAACTGAAATAAATAATTTTGACTTAGACTTAGACTTTTAACGATAAAGTAAATAAACATATCATACACAAAAACGTACCGCTAATAAAAATTAGTGATGTATACTAAGATCCCGAAATGTTAATTTTCATATTATAAAATTATTTTAGTGTCCAACGCGACTCCATACATACCTCCTGTAGCGAAATTCGAAATTTGAAGAAGCAAAACGAAACAAAACAAAACGATATAGATCGCAAGACAATAATGGAAAAATTATCTTTATTTGTTCGACCTTAAGGTTGAATTCAAACTAGATATTGTATAACTTATGTCTTTTAATTTCTACATGACAGGAGTAAGAAAATACTTTTCTTGTCTTATATGACGAATGGTCGTAAGTATTAGATAATATTTTGACGATTTATGACTTTATTATTAGGTGCCATGGTTTTTATTAGGTTGAACTTAAAACTATTTTAAAACATTTTTCTCTGTTTGTTATCGTTTTACTATTATTATTCACACGGACAGAACTGGAGCTTGATTTTGTACGTAACCCTTTATCTAGTTGTTATTGTTGATCGAAGATTCTGATAATAATAAGACGTACGTTTGACGTTGTTGTCAATAGAGAATTCAAAACATATGTACCCCCCCACCGGTGCTGCCCCTAGCGGATTTTTTTTTAATCTTCCCAGGAAAAAGGCTAATTCTACAAAGGTTGCGGGGCCGCGGCGGGCGGGGACTAATAACGCGCGTTGAGTCCTTAGCCAAACTCTTCTCTTCCCGTGGATGCCATAAAAGCCGACTAAAGGCCATCGCACTCCTCACAAGCACAGCTCCGGCACGGCTCCAGCAATGTCATTGTCATTTAAATATGAACTTTAAATCGTATGTCGTACTAGCTTCTGCCTGCGACTGTACGCGCAATCTCGTTTTCTCTCGTTCTCAAACGATTTTCAGGATTTTTTTTCAATCATAAGAACCTTCTCCTGACAATAATAAACACAACAAAAAAAAAAATAGCCAAATCGGTCTAGCCGTTCTCAAGTTATGGCATGACAACGGAAAACGGGATTCATTTTTATTTATATTATAATTATAATAATATATACTAGAGACCCGCTCCGGCTTCGCACGGGTGCAATATGCATGTATTATATGTAAAAATGCAACAAGTAAGTTATTTACGAACTTTATTGAAACATCGTTTATTTAAAAGTCCCCACCGAACCCGAAGGTTCTGTTGCCATCAAGGTCCTCGTCTCCATCTAATCCAAAGTCACCAGTGATGTTTCCAACGGTGCCAGTTAAATCACCTAGTAAAAAAAAGAAATAAAGATTTTCTTCGTCACTATTCTTTGACGTTGTTTTACTTAATTTTGTAATGAAGATATGCACAAGATACTATACTCGAACTTTGTTTGGTTTGATCTATAGTCCTTTAAGGACTCTTAAAAATCTATTGTAATTAAAAAAGTGATATCACTGCCTTCCAGAAAACCGACGTGAAGCATTCATTGCTTGCATTGTTTTTCATCTTGTGAGTGAGTTTACCGGATGCCCAATACCCCCCCCCCCCCTTCCTCAATCTCAACAATCCTAGTTCCTAATCTTCCAAAGGCCGGCAACGCACTTGTAACGCCTCTAGTGTTCTAGGTGTCCATGGGCAACGCCGACGGCGATTGCTTACCATCAGGTGATCCGTCAGCTTTACAGCAGTTTACCGGCTTATTTCATAAAAAAGATTAAAAATGCGACACCTACATTATATTTACGAACATAACTTATTTAAAAATACCCACCGAAGGGTCCTTTGCCATCAAGGTCCTCGTCTCCATCTAATCCAAAATCACCAGTGATATTTCCATTGGTGCCAGTTAAATTGTCTGTTAAAGAGAAAAAGAGAATATAGAATTTGTTCGTCACTACTGACGTTATTTCGCTCAGTGAGTGAGGTTACCAAAGTTCTATGCCCCTCTCTCCTTGCTCTCACCAGAATACGCCTACTACTAAACAAAGATATTCTTACGTGGGCGTGTCGCCTTCCACACGCGCCTCAAAGTGCCATTAGACCACCACAGGGTCGCGGAGAACCTAACGGGTAACCGGGGCTCCGGCTCGACGTGCAGGAGAAGGAACGGGATGGTTTTTAGTCAGTAAGAGTCTGACACTCCCTCCCGCCTCACCCAGGCGGGAGCAGTAATTCGATGACTTTCCCCCCTTAAAAAAAAAAAAAAAAAGACCACCACAGGGCCTTAAGCCAAACGCCACTTTAGCGCTTGTCTACAGAGAGAGTACAAATCAAAATGTATGGGGATGATACTGACAAGTGTGAAAATTTAAGTCAATTCCATATAATTTGGTTTTCTATTCTACAAGCAGACAAATGCTAATTGGCATTTGGCTACAGCTGCAGATAGTGTCTACAGGGCCCTGTACGACAAATGCCCGATACGGTGCCGCGAAAGACTTAACAGGTTGCCGGGGCTTTAGCTCGAAGAGCAGGGGTAGGAACGGGATGGTTTTTAGTCAGTAAGAGACTGACACTCTCTCGCTTCACCCAGGGCGGGAGAAGTCGTTGGTTGATCTCTCCCTCCCCCCGCCTCCAAATAAAGAGCTTGGCGGGCGCTGGCAGCTGTAGCTTCGAAACTGCTATTCTTCCGTCAGTGGCTTTATGCCTTGGGTATATCTAATATAACATAACATCATGCCTTTTATCCCCGAATGGGTTGGCCAATATTGGTACAATGTAATGTAACACCCACTTTTCACTATTTATGTTATGAGTCCCATGTAATAGGGGTTGAGCCTATTGCCATGTATCGGGCACATGTCCAGGCTCCGTGCTACTACTGAGATGTTTAACAACCCAATAATAAGTACTTTGCCCGACCCGGGAATCGAACCCGAGACCCCTTGCACTTGCAACCACTCGGCCAATGAGCAGTCAAAGTCTAATTATCTTTTTAGTAAGTAGGTATCACTCACTGTAAATGTCGCGAGAGCTCTCTTGACTGCCATCCAAATCAAAGTCTGCGGTAAATTAAAAATAATTACTTTTTTTTTAGAAATAATTGACGTCTTTAATAAGCAAATATTTTTAAATGGAAAACGTAGAAAGTTCTTCCGTTGATAATATTATTATGGTACTCACCCTGTTGTAAGCTCTGAAATGTAATAAAGCGATATTACATTAGTATATTTTATTGAAATACTAGCGACCCGCCCCGGCTTCGCACGGATGCAGTATGCATGTATTATACATATAAACCTTCCTTAAAAATCACTATATACAGGGTGTAAACGGAACGCTCCCGAAAAACGCCGTCAGATGATGGGAAAAAAGAAGTTTTATTTCCATAAAACTAAGGAATTAAATATTTCTTTCATGTAACTATAGTTGTAATCCGGCTCGAGGCTGATGTTGCATGAATAACACGAAAATAAAAACTATTAAAATTGTATAACGGATTTCTTTTTCTTAGCGTTTTGGGAGCGTTCCGTTTACACCCTGTATTTAAAAAAAACCGCATCTAAATCCGTTGCTTAGTTTTAAAGATCTAAGCATACATAGGGACAGACAGACGGCGGATAGACTTTGTTTTATACCATGTAGTGATGATTGCAGTTAACGAATTGGTCATGATAATCACGAGATTACGTTAAAAATAATAAATTAATCTAAATGTCGGTATTTACATGATCGATTAGTAGATTTTTTGTTATTATCGACGACAGTCATATAATTTTCGTGTAAAAACCATAGATTTAAGTAAAAATTAAGGTCGGTACTCACGTATCCTATCATCAAAGCGATGATGAAGGTAATTAAAAGTTTCAACATTTTTGCTCAGCTGTTGGGAACTTGCGTAGAGTGAATTAATTATCGAAATGTGTACAGCGTTATTGCCGTCTGTATTTATTTGATTTTTTTGGTGATCCGTAACTCAGTGTCGCTGGTATTGAGTTCTGCTTATAAAATGTATTATTTTTTTAGTTTTATTAATTACTAGCGACCCGCCCCGGCTTCACACGGGTGCAATATGCATGTATTATACATACAAACCTTCCTTAAGAATCACTCTATCTATTAAAAAAAAACCGCATCAAAATCCGTTGCGTAGTTTTAAAGATCTAAGCATACATACGGACATACAGCGAAAGCGACTTTGTTTTATACTATGTATATGTATTGATTGTTAATTTGGTAATCAACTGCTTAAACTGCTCATGTAGTAACAAAAATCGCGGGTTACGCATGTGAATATACTGAGAAAAGCTCTACTAGTTTCGAACCACAGAGGGGCTCTTCCTCATGCAGCCGCAGCCTATGTATTATTTTAATTTATTATAACCAAAAAGTATTCTTCATATTATATTGTGTTCTCGTATTATAAGTATGTATCTTATTTTTGTTTATATGAAAATCTCCATACATTCAAATACTTTCTTGTTTCTTGAAACATACAGCGAATTATTTTAATACAGGTATTATGATAGTTACTTAATTTAAAAAATCCCTCACATGTTAGGTATGGACAAAGATATATTGTTATTTTTGTATAATCCTGGTTCGAGGATCGCCGAATTTTCTATTCAAGATAGATCAACTAAAAACCACGGGTTACTCACGTGAACATACTGAGAAACGCTCTATTTACTAGATTCGGTTTCGACTGTGCGGTTCGGTTCGGTTTCGGTTATGAGGAAGAACCCTTCTGCGGTTCGAAACTAGTAGAGCTTTTCTCAGTATGTTCACGTAAGTAACCCGCATTTTTAGTTAATATAGTATGTCTCACGATAGTTATTATAAAAATCAAGATAGATCGTCTTGTCTATATCTTCGCCTGTTTTGTGTATGGAATAAAGGTTTTAAAATATTAAGTTATAAAATATTTACTGTCAAGAAATATTTATTAACAAAATAATGGTGCTTACATTGTGCGTACTTTTACATTAACTAAAAATTGACTAGCAGTCGATAATCAACTGTATAGAACTTTATTATAGAGTTTATTTTTGTACATTTTTTTTATGATTGCGTTTGATTTGTGACGTAATACAATTGGTTTAATATTCAACATGGTGTCTTCTCTTCTTGCTGATGTTCGTAGTTCTTTCCCCTGCAACAATATATTTGACAATAACTCCTTTGATCTAAATAACTAGTCCCTAAGATTGTTTCTGTGTTTCCATAAAAAAAACGTAAATAACCTGATGGTAAGCAATCCGCGCCGTCCATGGACACCAGGAACACCAGAGGCGTTACAAGTGCGTTACCGGCCTTTTGTGAATTGAGAATTTGAGCATTGTGGGGTATTCGGGGATTGGGGAGACTGGGGAGGGAATAATTGGTCCGGTAACCTCATTAATACGACGAAACTCAACGGAAGCGTTATTTTATGTCGGTTTTCTGTGAGGCTGTGTTATCGCTCCGGTCGAGCCGGCCCATTCGTGCTGAAGCATGGCTCTCCCACACTTAGATTGTCTAGGAATTATTATATTAACAAGTTTCATCTTAATTTTTTCATAACGACTTTATAGTCCACAGGAAAACCAACTTCATAAGGTCTCCCTTATATGATACTACTCCAATATTTAACCAGCTAAGCTCATTTTGACATTTATTGCAAAGAGTATAGAAATGAAAGTTGTTTGTAAGGGTTGTCACCTTAATCAGCCCAAACTGCCGCCCAAGCTCGCATTTCCATTGAGGCCCTCGTTTCCACCCAATCCAAATGAACCATTGACTCCTGGACCACCAGAAGAGAGGCTGCCACTTCCACTACCTGTCATTTAACATTTTATTGTATACTTTTAAAGTAATAGTATTTAAATAACTAAAGACTAAGGACTAGTGCCTGCGAGTCCCTAATCCGTAACCGACGCTAGCGCATCGCGTCTTGCGTCTGCGATGAGCGGGAAAAACAATTGTGCAGGTTTAAACGGAGGAGACCACAATGGTTCGACTACCTACCGCCGTTTAAATTTCCCGCTCGCACGAACAAGACGCGCTGCGCTTGAGTTAGGCCTAAGGGTCCAGTTGCGTAAATTGGAGAGAAAGAATAGACTGATCATAGCGATAATTATAATCTTTCCTTGTTCGATTGGATATGTTAGAAACTAATTTGTAGACTCAGAAGGAACAGTGATCCTGTTTAATATCATAGGTCAGTCCTTCAATAGTTAATAACAACTCTACTTCTTAAGCAACTACACTTGAATGCTATGAAACGGAGCCATTAATATTTTTTCTTTTTTATTTCTTGATAAATATTTTCTGATACCTACATTCGATATATTAAGTGGCAACGTATGTCGTATAAAAGGCCGTGCAAGTAACCTTTAAGATGAGAGCATATTGTTATAATAAAAGGAACATTTCTTCTTAATGTCTTGGAGGGTTCGATAAAATTTAAAAATGCTCTAGTGACTCCGTTTCTTTGCTACACAGTATCGTTATCAAACCTCTTACACTTTAATCGTTTCAAAGATTGAACTTAACCCATGTTCAGCAATTACGCTGGTGACGTTTCATAAGACGGAGCGAAACGGTGGTTTTAATCATTAGTTATTAAATGCCACTTACCAGCAACACTGCCAGATGCTTCTTGACTGCCGCCTATACCAATTTGCGCACTTGCTGTAAATTAAATAGAAGCGATATTAAGAACCTTGAACTCCTTTCACTCTGATCATCCTGATGGAGAAGGGAAATTAAATTCGCTACAGTTAAAGTTTACAGAAGGACATCTTGCTAATAACAAATCGTTTTAAGAGGTAGTCATTGTAAAAAAACTGTCTTAGAGGAGTTTACTTGGCAATATCTCGGGGGTTTTTATAAGGGGAAAAAACATCGAATGATTTCTCCGTCTCAGGCCAGGCTGTGCGCTGCGTTGTTGTGCCCACGGCGCGGGCGCCCGCGTGGCGTGCCTTTTCATGTAATCCCATCCCATCAGCGCTGCATGCAGCGTGTCGCCCGTCGCACATTGATGGCGCACGGCCTCAGACTCTTACTGACTAAAAACCACCCGTGTCCCGGTGAAATATAGCTTAAGGGAGGAAATCTTGCTAATAACAAATGGTTTTAAGAGGTAGTCGACGTAAAAAAACCTGTACTTGAGGAGTATAAGTGAAGAGATCGGGGTCACTTTTGGTCTTCCTCTAATGCTCGAATACTTACTACTCTTTGAACAAGAAATAATTTTAAAGAATTAATAATAATTTATGAAATTATATTGAAATACTTACGTCCTTGTTGGATGCTCTGAAAACAAAAAGAAGTATGATTAATACTAATTAATTATGCGACTGTATTGGAAGAAGGGCGACTCCCAACAGTACGGGAATGTTTAGGGTGTATTATCTGAAGCTCTGAACGTCCAGGTAGAGATCAACTTTCTTCTGGCCATTTTCGTAGATTAGGGGTAACCGCAGTAGTCGTAACCGCATCGCTCAGTATTTAATGTGGAACGGCTGTCTTCTACTTCCAAGACCAACCTAGGAAGTTGGCCTCGTGATCTCGAGGTTTGAGGTCGAGGTGCAGGAGGCAGACACCAGTAATAATGGGCCTAACTAACAATTTGCAAAATCTATCATCATTTTGCTAAATTTTTTTGGCATCTGACTAGCCGTTAAAGACTATTCTAGATATAGTTCCAGTAATAATGGGCCTAACTAACAATTTGCAAAATCTATCACCATTTTGCTAAATTTTTTTTGGCATCTGACTACCCGTAAAGACTATTCTAGATATTGTTGCGAAAATCAGTAAGAAAAGTTAAGTGACATAAATAAAAAATAAGTAACTTACCATTCCAATCATCATGGCGACGATGAAGGTGACGAAAATTTTGTACATTTTTGGTGCGTTTGAAGTTGCGTAGGACGAAGTAATTTTCGGAATGTGTACTTTATCTCAATACGGGTCTCTATTTATTTGGAATTTATTGGGGATCCGCAAAACTGTTCTGCATATTAATTAGGCTACATAATAGTGAGTTCTGCCTATTTATTTTGTTACTAAGTACTTATTTTCTTTTAATTTTACCATTCTATAAATAGTTTTATGCATCATATATAATATGATGCTTTTCCAGATTTTTCCCTGAAGGGTATTGGTTTTTTTACTGAATCTTTGTAGCGCCATCTTTGTTAGTTTTTTTTTTACTAAGATCTCAGTATTTGTAGATGCGTAATTGCAGCTTATGATGATAGTAACTGACGTTGCTGAGATGGTAGGTCTATCAAAACTTCGCGCACGCCTCAAGGAGCCATCAGATCACCACCGATGGGTCTCTATAGGACTTATGCCGATACGGAGCTGCGGAGGGCTTAACGGGTTGCCGGGGCTCCGGGTCGAAGTGCAGGAGTAGGAACGGGGTGGTTTTTAGTCAGTCTGAGACTCCCTCTCGCCTTAACCGGGCGGGACAAGTCATTGGATGATATTTGCCTCTCAAAAAATATCAAAACTTTAGAACCTGATTTGAATAATCGAACTTAATAAGTTAATAGTTCTAGACTCTTCCAATGATTTTGAGATTGTTATTCTTAGTCATGTCATGGGTGGTCTTGGAGGTATTTTTTTCAAGAACTGAAAACTAAGAAGTTAATGTCCAGTTTTTGTATAAAATGCCATTATTCGTTCTCGAATTAGCTTAATTTTTTTTACATTACATTGTAAGGGATTTTTCTGTTGTAATCATTAATAGGGACCCATTTAAATGTTAATTACTTTTCTATCTTTCAATTTAAATTTTAAATTCTGTAACCGGTTCTTGTCACACAATATTTTAAAATAAGACCTATCTGTTTGGGCGGCTTTTCATACAAATGACAATTTAGAAATTATATATATATAACTTTTACTTCTTTAAAATTAAGTTTCAACTATGCTTCAAGATTTGTTAGATACTTACATCGAATAGAACGTTGACAATTTAATTTTGTTCACTTCTTATATGATATATGATCAGATAGTCGTACGATCAAAAATAGTTCTTATGTCATTTGAAGTTACGGTATGGCTAAATCACTTTTTACAAGCTTAATGGTCAAATATTCAAACGCCACTCAATTTTAAGAAATTCTTAAAAATAGTTCTTTTTTATAGCATAAGCCGGTATACGAGTAGACGTATCACCTGATGGTAAGCAATCGGCGCCGCTCATGAACACCTAAAACACCAAGGCGTTTTGTGTGTTACCGGCCTTTTGGGAATTGGGAATTTGAGGATTGTGAAGGATTCGGGGATTCGAGAGACTAGGGAGGGGGGGGGGGGAATTCGGCCCCCGGTACCCTCACTCACACGAAAAAACACTACCAAAGCGTTGTTTTCCGTTGGTTTTCTGCTCAGCCGTGGTATCACTCCGGTCGTGCCGAAGCATGGCTCTCCCACACTTTATAAAATGACAGAGATTTAAGAAGAACTTAAAATTAAGTAGTCTTACAGTATTCGGGCGTAAGCTTATTAAACATGAAGTGTTCTTATTAGTTCCACCAAATTGCGTATTTTTAATAAAATATTTGTATGAAAAGTTCAACTTTTTATCCTAATATTGAAATGAGAAAGGGCCTATTTGAATTAACATTTGCAATAATATTCGTTCTTTAGCAATAAATTATTAGTTCTTATTTTTATCTTTTTAATTTTCGCGAAAACCTGGTTAAGGCTAAAACAGGGGTCGAGTAGGCATTTGAATAGATAAATTTAAATTGCTAATATTGCCAATATCATACGACGTTTCGGATCGAAGGAGGAGCTGTAACTCATTGGATATTTATTTAGAGTAGTTAAATGGACACAAATTACCAAAAAAATCCTCAAGTACCTAATGATTTTACATATTTAGGATAAAATATGTTCAGCAGTCAAAATCTTGAGGCTGATATATCATAATGGTAATGATCATGACGTCAATTATGTAATATATCATCATGTCTAATCACTTGAAAGGACAATCAACTAGAATAATTTGTTCCAGTCTTCCATTGATGTCAAATTTTTTCAGCTGTACACAAATATTTTGTGCGTAATTATTGATTTGGAAGTTTAATTATATGTTTAAAGATATTAAGTAAATATTTAATGTTACACAGCTGTTGATTTTCAATAGATATTTTTAGTGGTTACCTATTATTAGGTAATACTAACAACTAGCTTTGTGGCCCCGCAAGGCTAGTGTATCACAACAACTGCTCGTGGCAGACCTTTGGTGGATTGTGTGCCACACACACACACAAACACACACGCAGTTTGCCAGTCTCCACGATTTGTAGTTGGGTTGGAGACGACAGTTGAAGGGCTCGTACACAAAACTGCGATGCGATGCGAATTCGCAACGCAAATAATTACGATACGAATTGCTATGATGCGATTTCGCGCGATAAAGCGTCTCCCAGGGTGACCATTCCTTTGACGACCGTCAACCGTACTAATCGTATTTTAAATTGAAAACTGGGTCGTGGCATAGATCATAAAAAGAAGTGTGCACTTCTGTTATTGCTTAGGAGGTACAGAAAAAACACACAATGATTTTGGGAAGATAAGAATTTGATGCGCGATGCGAATCAATTCGCAAGGTCTTGCGATGCGTAGAGGGAGAGCTCGCACATTTTTGCAATGCGACGTCGCATCGCAGTTTTGTGTACGAGCCCTAATAGGTTCATGTTTATTCGTGAGTGTCTCTCGATAGAATCGTTTGTATCCCTAAAGCTGATCTGTTTGTAGCCTTACGGCAACGGGCACTGTGCTGGTGAACGTGGAGTCCTTTAGTAGAATGCAACACATGCGCGGTACGGGTACGATTTTTTTACATCTTTGCCCTACACTAACATTTTCTCCTGTATCGTTGGTGTTGTGTATCATGGGTGTCATGTGTGAACTTGTTACGCCATACAAGTTCACATATGACACCCAGATTTGGAACAACAATCTATTGATCACACAGAGAGTTGTTCCGTGCGGAAATCGAAACTGCGTTGCGCGGCTGCCAGTTGCCTAGACACCGCGCCAACCCGCTTTTTGGGAAGCGGGTTGTATTGTCGAGTTTAGGTATGGTAATCCTTATTGAAAGCAGTCTACTATGGACCCTCTCTATACCTTTATATAGAGAAAACCCACAGTGGGCCGATTTAAGCTGTTGATGTTGTTGACTATCGCGTGAGGAGATTAGTGTTATCGAGTTCAATTTTTTAACAACAGTTTCCGTAATATGTTCCTGGGGCTCCGGCTCGAAGTGCAGGAGAAGGAAAGGGGTGGTTTTTAGTCAGTAAGAGTCTGACACTCCCTTCCGCTTCACCTAAGTGGGCGAAGTCATTCGATGATTTCCCCACCTTAAAAACAAGGGTTACCTTGTATTTTTAATGTTCTGCATGAAAAAAAATAGATAAACATGAAAACGAATGCTATTCTTATCATTAATTTTTAACTGTGAGTCGATTATTCAGTAAATATAACTGTATTAATAAATGTTTCAGGCTTAATTACCGTTTATTAGATAATGGTAATTGTGTTAAAACTTCTCTATTTTTGTTTGAGGGCCTCGACACTGAGCTAGGAGGTATTTAACAATAGATATAATATTAAATATGTCTATCATGATTTCCGTGTCAAAATTTATCAGTTCTTCATTCGCCGAAGCCAGAGTCGTCTCCTAGTCGGCGTTGCTACCAAAGCCGAAACCAAATCCAATGTTGTCGTTGCTTCTATTCACTGAAAAAAAAGAAGATAATGTTAATTATTATTGTTAATTAATGTAATTTCTAGCGTGATGTAATATGTTCCTCTGTTTGTCTTCAAAGAGGCGTTTAAACGGGCAATATTTTACGACAATTTGTGGCTGCAATACTGTGGGCGGCAACATTGCTAACAATACCAGCCAACATAATGCAATATTTTAAGGATGGCCCGGCATTGTAGTCACATATTTTTTGGTATGTCAAAATGTTTTATGTGTAGCCGGCGTGTGGCCGAACGATCACCTCGCAATCGAAAATACTGCAATATATCTGGGCCATGTATATTGCTGTTCTGTTTTACTGTATATGCGCGTCCCTTTCTTCCTGCGACGTGAAGTAATTAAATTAAATAAGCGGACACTCTGAAAAGGTACATACATCAAACTCTTGAAAGAATCTCCAGTCGCTAAATACCGTAGAGTTATTGCTAATCTTGTAGTTACAGGTATTGCATTCCTCATGTTTGTATCTTGCCTTTGTATGTTTGGTCCAATTCTGTTCACAAGAAATTCGAAGTCGCTCTTAGACATTCTTGTAAAATTTTTAAATAAGTAGATATTTATCCATTAATTCCATGTCTACGGAATCCAAAGTGTCACGCCTACATAGGTAGGGTCGAATCCACATTCGTGTCCTTTTTCTTCGTTTTTTTTGCCAAAACAATGTAAGATGCTGCGATGAGCGTCATTTCGTCTGCCATTGTTGCTGGATTGTGTGGCTCATTAAAGGGTTCTGAATCAAAGGCTATTGCAGCCATATTGCAACATGTTGTCTGCAATTGATTGTTCAGCCATAAAATGAACTAAAATGTTTTTTTGATGGCTGGGCAATGTTTGCCAATAGTTGCAGCCACAAATTGGCGTAAAATATAGTCCGTTTAGACGCTCCTTTACCTACACCTAAATATCGTGCCACCTCTGTCACTTTACAAAGAATTTGTAGTGACTGAACTATACTTCTCTCTTCCTAGACGATCTCTTTATTACTGAAGGTCGTGTCTAGTCTGGTGCACGCGTCACTTGATGCACAACCCTCCTCCAAACGCCCCTGTCCTCTGCGGTCTTTATGGCTTGTGGAACTGTCAGGCCGGTTAGGTTTTTTACAGCATCTTAGCACCGGGTAGCTGAGCGATCACGAAGTCTTTTCCCGTTAACACGACCAACAACCACAAGCTTCTCCAGATTGTTGGGGTCTCTACGCGCAATGTGGTCAAAATAGCTTGGTATTCACTGCAGGCATACGATGAACAGCCTCGTAGTAATACCGAACTATATTTAGCGCGACCATTTAGTGGTGATTGAGTATTTCAGCGGAAATTTCACTAATCACATTAAGGTTTTTTACTTTAATCATTTAAAGTTACCTTCAAAGTACACATAAGTACCGCATACTCTTCTCTGCATCACCCTAAAGTCAGATTGGTAGATAATGTCTACGGCATTAGGTCTATCTATTGTACAACTAATGTGCATTAAACTTATAAATAAATAAGTTTAGTTATTGCTAAGAGAATTGTCATGATTTTAGAGTAGGGTCGTACCTCTGCTACCCCCAGTACTGCTATAACCACCAGCTCCACGTTCATCACCAACATTGAATCCGAAGCCGAAACCTGGAATTAACCATAAATGAAATTATCCGTTAACGTATACATATATTGTACCCTTTATTGTCATTAATAGCTTTTACCCGCGGCTTCGCTCGCGTCACAAAAGAATAAAAAGTAGCCTATGTGACATATATACACAGCGCCATCTATACCAATGATTTCGTTTTTCCACGAGAATATCAATTTTTTTCCGGGATAAAAAGTACCCTATTATTTAATCCAGATTTCTAACTTTACGTCTGCAAAAATTCAAAGCAATTGGTTCAGTAGTTACGGCGTGAAAGCAGAACAAACAAACAAAAAACAAACTCACTTTCAGATTCATAATATTAGTAAGGAAAGGATTGGTCCAAAGCCAGTTCCAACGCCAGGTTTCGTATCCAGTATTTTAACTTTATCCGGATAACTTACCGCTTCCGCTGCCAAATCCGCTGCCCTGTTGCATGCTCTGAAATTAATTTCTTAATTATTATTACAAAAATAAATGATATAATACTCATTTGAAACAGTAACTTAAGTAGGAACAAGTCTTAACATCTGTGGTAGTCGTTACTGCTAATCAGGAGTACAAAAGATTCTTAATATGGGACGGGTCAAGATCTCTTAGTGGGTCGAATAATTCACATCGTCAAAGGCTGATGACAATAGTTCCATGTAAAATACTGACAGTCAAACGGCCAAAAACCCATAATAAACTGGTGTATTTTTAAGTTCGTGGTGGTATAATTCAAATCGAAAGCAATTGAGTAGTTGCCAGGGTAAGAAAATTAAAAATCTAATTAGTCCGTCAGTTAGATAATGAAAAAATAATAGACACGTATTTTTTATTATATAAAGCTAAATCTATAGATACTAATATTATAAAGAGGAAAGATTTGTACCTATTTTTGTATGTTTGTAATGAATAGGCTCAAAAAAGTACTGGGCCGATTTAAAAAATTCTTTCACCAATATTATGCTACATTCTTCCAAATTGACATAAGCTACATTTCATTTTGAAAAAATTAGGGATCCTTGGTAAAATTTGAACAATGTAACCGAATGTGTAGAATAATGAGTCTTAAAATGTCTTTCGTCGAATGCGCTGCCGAAACTATTAGCGATAGAACAAAATAATGTACAACAATATTGAAGAACATCATAACGTCTACAAAAAACTCCGCGGTAGCCAACTATTGTAGTTATGTCACTACAACAATCCAAATTTCCAAAAATAAATAATTGTCTACCTGTGACCAAAGCCGGGACGGGCTGCTAGTACTTATATAAAGCTACAATACTTAGATAAAATGGCGTTAAGTTTAGGAATAGGAGGTCGTTACGTCACAACGTGCTGTAAAATGTAGCACGCTGTGACGTCACACGATATTTCAAATGAATATATCGTCGAAATTATAGAATTATGTGAGAAAAGAAAAAATACGTGTCTAATGTTTTAAAATAATCTACCAGACGGACTTTAAAATAAAATTTAAGAAACTACCGTATTATTAAATTTGAGATATGTATACATGTATACTCGACCTTGTCACATATAGAGGTAAATTACTTGTTACTTCCACGCGGTTTCACCCACTTTGCTCGGTTCCTATAGGTCTTAGAGTGATGTTTTATAGCCTATAGTCTTCGTTGGTAAATGCACTATCCAACACAAAAATAATTATTCAAATCGGACCAGTATAGTTCCGGAGATTAGCGCGTTCAATCATACAGATAAACTCATCAGCTTTAATAATAAGTATAAGATTTTAATTAATCGATTCTGGGTATTTGCTCTATACATTTTTAAAGAAAAATCCATAATTTAAGAAATAAATTTTAATAAACATCAAAAACTTACGTATCCGAACATAATGACGATAAGAATGACTACGATTAGATTTATGAACATTTTTGTTCAGGTCAGATGTGTCTCTTCGCTGCACAAATTGCAGAATTATGTATGTTTAGACTTGCATGTGTATTTATATCAACGATGAATAATATATTCCCCAGACAAACTATGGGTAGGTACTATATTTTGGAAACAATGATTATCCAAATATTTGCATAATTGCAGTTTATTGCAAAGTAGGTACATTAAACTAAATTTGGTGTAATGTAGGCTACACACCTTTTGTTTTGACTGTACAGTCGAACTGCGCAGTTCAACTGTTTGGTCTACAAACATATAGCATCATAACACCACGTCTTTTATCCCCGGAAGGGTCGGCAGAGGTGCACTTGATGCCACTGTACAATATAAACACCCACTTTTCACTATTTATATTATGAATCTCATGTAACAGGGGGTGAGCCTCGGCCAACGAGGAGATCGCAGTTTCTCTAAAAACCTTACGATTTTACTATACAGTCGAACTGTACAGTTGCAACTGTACAGTTTAATCGTAAGGTATGCAGCGTCCATAAAAAAAACATGTTTTTTAGTTTGTTTTCTTTGTTTTGTTTTTCTTATCCGTCTTTTATTAATGTCTGCCATTAATGGGGAACTTTTTGATTAGGCGTAATTGATTTGTGTTTTTGATGTAGTGAGTAAAACTTAGACTATATTACTAAATACTCTAAGGCGAAAAAGAATAAAACCGTAGATAATAAGACAGCTTAGTTATTAATTATGTTATATTAACTACTATAAATCGAACCAAATAATAAACAGTGATTTAGAGTTACAATTTATTAATAAATATTATATTAAGAATGCTTATTATCATTTTCGTCTCATAATTTATCAGTTCTTCATTTTCCGAAACCGCCTCCTGCGCCTCCCGCGCCTCTACCTCCTCCAAAACCGAAACCAAATCCAGCATTGCTTCCATTCACTGAAACATAAAATAAAATACGTATTATACCTTATTTAACATTAGATTATTTACTTCATTATCGATAAGAGAATCCCAAATGTAGTACTAGTAGTAGTAATAAGTGTGGGAGAGCCATGCTTCGGCACGAATGGGCGCTCGACCGGAGTTATACCACGGCCTCAGAAAACCGACGTGAAACAACGCTTGCGTTGTGTTTCGTCATGTGATTGTGGTTACCGGAGTCCCAATTACCTCCCCTCCCCGGTCTCCTTAATCCCCGAATTCCTCACAATCCTTAAATTCTCAATTCCCAAAAGGCCTATAATGCACTTGTAACGCCCCTGGTGTCGGATGCCTATGGGCGACGTCGATTGCTTATCAGGTGATCCGTCTGCTAGTTTACCGACTTATCCCATAAAAAAAAATTACGGGTTGGTATGTCTTGCCTACATTTTAATGAGATGTTTATTATACGATTGACAGTTTTAAGTAATGCTATGTATGTTTATATTAAACCCCATTAAAATCTCTCATTTTCTCATCTCGACAATTAAAACTTATCTTCCAAGTACACATGGTATTGTCTCACCTCTGTTACCACCAGCTCCACCCCCGGCGCTGCCATCAGCACCACCCCCTGCGCCAGCGCCTCCACTTAACCCGAAACCGAAACCTGCATTACCTACAAATAATTTTAAAAGTTAGAATCACATAAATATTATGATCGAATATCCTAGTTAGGTATGGCTAGTAAGAAACCTCAAAAATGACAACAAAGAATTTAGCATCTCCCTTATCGGGTTGTAGGCATGGCAAACGACAAATGCCTTTATACAATTACTAAATTTGCAGTCGCTTAGTATATAAACTTCCATATTTCTAATTCAAATTCTAGATAAACTGCCAAAAACATGATCTTTAATGAAAAGGAGGGTCCAAATGAGTTGGTTAACATTGTTATTGTTGGTAATATTACGTATAAACGTAGTTATTGGAGCACACTAAAACGTGTGACGTGTTTCCAACTAAGAAAAGATTCTACAAATAAACCCTTGCTGGGCGTGTCTGTCTAGTTCAAACCGTTATTTTATCTGTTGGATACTTGTTATATTATTAAACTTACCACCGGCGCCAGCACCACCATTACCATACCCCTGTTGCATGCTCTGAAATAAAATGCTTAGTATTAGTAGATGATAGAGAACTATACATCTTTCTCATAATCATTCTGGCAAATTAGACCAACAGAAACTTAAGAAACCTCCTTTGGGTTGTAGCGATAGGGAGGTACAAATCTAACCGTTAGAATATCACGTTGACCTGGATGGTCATACAGATTATACTCTTTTAGATTAGTCTGAAGCCCTAAAATTGTATCAATAGTACAAATAAAATTTGGTGACCCTCGATGAATTGTGGAGGGCAAGCATTAGGCTCCATTGAAAACACTGATAGTCGAATCTGATAAAGACTTATGGCCAGTTTAACGTCCAGTTTCAATAACCTATCTATCTGTAGATACATATTTTGTATGGAGCTTGTGTCAAAATTTTATCTCTAGTAAGCAAATCTACAGATAGATAGGTTATTGAAACTGGCCGTGACTCTAAATCGGCGTTTTGGAGTGCCAAGACGCCGATTTAGAGTAAGGCCTTAGAAACAAAGCCTGATAATAATAAAAAAACTTACGTATCCAAACATCATGACGACGAGAGCCAGTAGGAATAGTTTTCTGAACATTTTGGTTCTGGTGTCTCTCTTCGCTGTACAAAAATTGGAACTGTGAATGGACAGACTAACATCTGTATTTATATCAGCAACTGGCTTTATTTATGCCTTTGTAAATAAACGATGAGTAATATTTTCCTTACAAACTGTGTATAGTTTTGAAACACATTGTTTATCCAAATATTAGCATAATTTCAATTAGTTTCAAAGTATATTAAACTCAAATGGAATCTATTTTTGATGATGTCTTCTATTTTGTTTTCCTCGTTGTATTTGTCTGTCTCTAGAATCATTACTTAACTTTAGATTTTAGGTTATCTTTTACTAAGCTCTTCTCCTTTATGGTAATATTTAAAAACGCATTCAGACCAGACCTGAAACAATAATTTGCTGTTTACAGAAATTGTAGTTCTTTGTTGAAATTAATCAATCACTCGATTTACAGCGCAGCTACTGCGACATCTGTGAAGTAAATCTATGAGAAATCCGTATTCTCTTTTCAAGAGTACTAGGTACTAGACAGAATGTTCACTTGATCGTAATGTATTTAATAACTAAAACCTCTAATGCTAAAGTAGGTATTGTTCTAAGTGTAAATAGCTTTAATGCTTCAAGTACAAGTATTTTAATGCCAATAACAGCTCTATTACTTAATCCCTAAAGTTTATTTTTCATTTCCTAAAACGTGGTTCTGTTTACGAGATTCTAAGCCAAAAATATTTATTCTAATGTACTTAACATGTACACAGGTGCTTTTCAAAGCCATTCCATACAAATCGTTCTATCGCCTTGTTTTCATGGGTATTTCAGGTATAGGTAAATATTCTAATGACATAGATTCACTACTGGCGGACGTGATCGGTATTGTATTATTTATGTTCTAATCGAGGTTATTCGGAATTTCAAATGGGGAATCCTGATTAAGGTCCCGGGTTTTATTTAGATCTACGAGTCTACCACAGATAGGGCCCTGAAGGGCAGATGCCGATACGGAGCTGCGGAGGACATAACGGGTTGCCGGGGCTCCGGCTCGAAGTGCAGGAAGAAAAACCACCCCGTTCCTAACGGGGTGCTTTTTAGTCATTAAGAGTTTGACACTCCCTCTCGTCCGGGTCATTAGATGATTTTCCCTAAGTACCCAAAAAAAATGTCTTGGGGTTGAGTAATGGAAATCAAAGCATTAAGTTTCATAAAGTTTATTTAGAAAAAAGTTCTTAATTATCTTTTAAGATGTATCTCTAAGTTCAGTTAAGACGTTATATTTAAATCGAAAATTCTTTATCTTCATGTCGATGGCATTGATGATGCTTTGTAAGGCCAGATTCCAACCGCGTTGGGCCCCGTAATACAAAACGAATTTTAACAGAGCTTTGCACCCTCCCTGATCTAATATGGGCTCAACATTGGAAGGCACTAATTTAGAACTATTTTTAGCTTCCCTTGCTTCAGTCAATGTTAAACATACACCCAAGGCTAATCTGTTGAAAACCTCCGGTAACAATTGTTGGGCTAATGATTGGCAATCTTTAGACACATGCTTGGCGTACTGAAGCTCTTCATGGACAACATAAATACCAGTTTTGGGTACGAGCTCAACTACTCCTGGCATCCTTTCTCTAATCTTCAATGTCCATCTACTATCATTAGGATTATATTCTGGTGGTAAATGAAATTGCTCTAAGTGGTTGTAGCTATTGCTAAGTTGCTCATCATTACTTGAATTTTCTCTGGGTTCTATTTCAGTTAAAATTGTTTCACAAATTTTCGGAAATTTTAGTAAGACGTTCCTTGTGGAGGATGTATTATTTTCTGTATTTAGTGACTCATTGTAGAGTTTACCTGACTGCAATAGATCATGGTAAAGTTCAACACTTTCAATCATGGCACTCCGTTGGTGTTGGTATATTTGCTTTGCATTAAACAAATCGCGTCCCATCTTTTCGAATAGCTCACCAACCAGGTCCATCATTTTTTGCTCACTTGCAAGGTTGGGGTTTTGCACAGCAATCTGATTTGTCGTAGAATTTCTTGTGGTAGAACATTGCTTTGGCATTCTATTCTGTTGAGCTGGTAATTGCGGTCTAGGTGATTGATTGGAGAAACATTTAGGTACAGCAAAGCTGAGCGCATCACGAGATGTTGTTGCTTCCTTATCTCGAGAGGTCGCCGCTGAATTTGGATTGTTGATCTCATTAGGTGTTCCCGTTACAGTTATCAATGATTTCTGTACACTTTGTATAAATTTCTGATATGCAGTCTGTAATGATTGGTTTGTCGTATATGAAGGTTCTGACGAAGGAGGTTTAGGGGCAGAGACAGTCTGTTGTAAATCAATCAAATCACGTTCTGTAGGTGGTACCGTCCTTTCAGTAGGACCTTTGTACCCAGTTAGCGGTCTGTGTTGTCCTTGTTGTGAGTTATTTTTTCTGTACGTTTTATGCTGAATTCTTTTAGAGTGATGATTTTCTCTGGCTTGGTATTTTGCTGGCTTAAATTGCACCTTTGGTACATGGTGTAGGGTTTTTGTATTTTTACCTTGTTTAATCTTATTTTTTTGGGCGTTGATAGTGATGCTTCTAGGAGCTGTTTGGCTCATGGTGTTTCGAGTGGGTGATTCCTGTTTACGGGGAACATTTTGGTGTGGATTCTGAGAAATGATTAATGGTATTTCTTTCGAAGTTGTTAGCAATGGCGTTTGTGATGCAGTGGTCACCTTTTTCGCGATCTGTTCAGGTTTCAATTTATTGTCTATTAAATGAAGTGGTATTAAAGTTGGTACTCCGTTCATATTAATCAACAAATTAGCAGTAAAGTCTTGTAAGTTTTGGGAAGTAGGTGGTCCTTCACTAGAAGTAGATGGTCCTTTACCAGAAGTAAATGGGCCATTGCTAGATGTAGATGGCGCATTGTAAGAACTTGATGATACTTCGTGAGTAGTAGACGATCTGTCGTAAGAAATGGAAGGTCTGTCAAAAGAAGTTGATGGTCTATTGCTAGAAGTAGATGGTTCGTTATGAGAAATAGGTGTTTTGTTATGAGAAGTAGACTCTCTTACAAGTGACGTTGCATCGTTGCTTGTCATCTCATCGTTGTTTGTATTTCTTGTAGATCGAACATCTGATATTTGTATTGAACTTAAAGACAAATCATTTTGTTGGTTAAGTAGTGCAGTCGTTGTTTTGCTGGCGATGTTACCGAGTTTGTTGTCAGTAACTTCATTAGGTTCCTGGGTTAGCGGTGAAGGCATCGTGTCCTCACAAATAACAAGGCGACTAGATTCATCAGAGTCGTAGTCACTTTCAGCATAGCGACTTTTAGTTCTTGGTTCTGATTTATTTCCACTCGTAGAACCTATAGTACTATTTGTCGTTTGACTAGTTTCTGTTGTACAGTCCCTCTGTAATGATTGACTGTCTTTTGAACAGCCTGGTGTTGGATTAGTATAATAGTCAACATTGTTTGACGTTTTTGGTAAAGGTGGCCTAAAATTGAAAGAATTTATTTTTGGTTTATCTTGCTCTTTGTTATTTTTCGACGAGTCGTCATGATTAGCTCTGTACAATTCACTATTCGAAGTTACCCGTGGCTGCGTACCTGAAAATAAACATTATGTTTGTTAAACATTGTTATTTATATAAGTAGCATATATAATGTAACATTCAATTTGATTTGGAAAACGCAAGAAAATTTTCGAATAAATATACATAAAAAACCCAGTCAACAAGCTATAAAATGGAATTCTTTGCCAAAATCTGTGGTTTCTGAAAGGTGTCTTTGAGGCCCGAGTGAATAGGTTGCTTATGAGCAGACATACTCCATCGTAGTCCACATCATCAGGCAAGATAGTAGCCGAACGTCGGCCCATCAAATATAATAGAATAACGGTATAAAAAGTTCAAATGATAACCTCAATAACCTCAGTTACTACATCCTAAATTGAGACTTACAAACATTAATATCATTACAGTAAGTTACTAAAGAGTTACAATAGCACAGACATAAATACATACATATCATACATCATGCATGTTCTTGCTAAAGGGCAAAACAGCAGTGTACTTGGTACTTGGACTTTTCCTTAACCAGCTATATTAACAGTGCAATATTAGTACAATACGATAGTTGCTCAATTTTTGTTTAAATATGTGGGAGAATCATAGTTCGGCACGAATGGGCCGGCACTACCCGAGATACCACGCCCCCACAGAAAACCGACGTGAAACAACGCTTGCGTTGTGTTTCCGTATGCTCGTCTACCGGCTTATCCCATAGAAAATGACCATCTTGCTTGTAGATTAATTTAAAACATTAAACACATATGTTTTCTTTTCCTACAGAATAAAACATTCGACGATATATTGATTTGAAATCTGACGTCACGTTTACTACATTTTACAGGGCACTGTGACGTAGTAGCTCACACTTTTTTAAACTTAAATTCGTTTTATCTAAGTTTTATTTCCTTGAATGACAAAATAAATACGTATATAATATGTTTTTCGTTAACTGGCGTACTAAATTCCTTTTTTAAATTTTATATCCTGTGACCTACAGAGGCCTTAGTACGAGTTTGTAATCGAATTTCGGCGCTTTTATTGGTTGGTTCACTGGCGCCGGCCAATCAGAGCGCCAGACGCGTCCTCATTTCGATTATTTTATACCTACGTAAAACGAACTTGTACTAGAGCCTCTGTATTGAAAGTTAACTCATAATAATATTACTTTAGACATAATATTAATACCAGACAGTAATGACAAAGCAATTTCTCAAACATTTAAAACAGTACTTTGCTCGCCCCGGGTTTATTTGCATATAAAATTTAATGTTATCATAAGACTAGACGCGTAACGCGTTTAGATTGCGAACGTGACCTTGGAACTTTAGTATCGCGATGTAATGTCATTGAATTTTATGTACTTCGAATTATTTTGGGTATTAAATTATTGTTACAATATTTATAAATAGCAACCCGCCCCTGCTTCGCACGGGTTTAATATGTATGTATTATACATATAAACCTTCCTTTAATAGATAGTGTTTCTCACTATATATTAAAAAAACACCGCATCCAAATCTGTTGCGAAGTTTTAAAGATCTAAGCATGCATAGGGACAGACAGACAGCGGATAGCGGCTTTGTTTTATACTATGTAGTAGTTACTTGCTTACCGTTTACTTTCGAAGCTATCCAAGATTCTGCATCCTCGAAAGAATCTGAAAATATTAAAGGAACTTTTTATCTCCTAGTGTTTTGGATGTCTCATAAAACAACCTAGTATTTTTCCACTCTGAAAATCAACCTATACGTACTTAATGACGAATAGTCTCTGTAATACCCAAGTGTGCTCTTAGTACAGTGGCCAGAAGATGAACTTACCCCAATCTGTCAAATATATACATTCGATTTTCGACTTTATGTCAATAAAATAAGGTTGAAGATGTAATACAAACCGCTGTCGTATAAATATGATGATGGCTATACTTACTGGTTTCGTGTGTAACTTCAGCTAAATAACACCGCCAGTTATCCTGATGTGGCTCCACGTTTTTGACCCGGTTTCTTGTGTCTGAAGGGTTTTCGTCATGTGGGTATGCAATTGAAGCTATTTGACCCCGACGAGTTACCATCCATGTCAAGGGCACACATACGTACTCATCAATACCTTCAAAAGGAGGTAAATTAATGAATTTAACAACACGGTACGTGAACCTTTTCATCTGTAATGAATGAGAATTTTATTAGCGAATGGATGTTTGAGTCTGAATTCACTAAATAATTTTTACGTATACATTTTCTAGGCTGCCGCCTTCAACTTAGCCTGCTAAGAATTTAAAAGTAATTGGGTATTTGTCTTAATCAAAAATAAATTATTTCGACTGTTCAATAAAATAAAATTTAAATAAATAATTATTAATCACACTTGCCTTACTTATTTTTAATATTTACCAGCGAATTATTAAGAAAGAAGTATGCTGTTTGACGCTAAAAAAAAACGTGACGTCACAATACACAATCTCGTACAAAATTCATAGAAAACTATCGTTGTTGACGGTTCAAAAAAGTATTGAATTTAACATGTTGGCAAGTACAGAATTCTTGTAAACGGTCCTAATCCTGTAGTGTCTATTGTTAAGCTGTTCACATACAAACAAAAGAAGAAATCTTCAAATATAGATGAATCACTAATTCTTACCGTTTGTTGTGGATGTTTATTCGCGTTATTTTGCTTATCTTTGAACTTATTAGTAGTTTTTACGCAGCAAAAAACATGTGTTATCCCTAGGGAGAGGTAATTGACACTATTATATCATTGGTTCAGTCAGTAGTGGGGAAATAGTGACGCATATGTCAAGGTCGTCAAATGGAATGTTAACTAGTTAGTTGTATTTATAATTCAGTTTGATTTTGTGTGTTGGGTGTGAGATAAATGATTTTTATTCATGTTTCAAAGGGCCATATCACATAGCAACGAGCGTGTTATTGTTTGGCTAGCAAAAGTAGATGATAATTTAATAAATAACATTACACAACATCACGTCTTTTATAAAAGAGAAAGAAAAACGTTTGGCAGTTAGCACACAAAACAAAGATAATAAAAAAATAAAAATACAGATACATAAACAAAATACTAATCTATATCTATATCTATATTCTATATCTATATATATAAAAGAAAGTCGTGTTAGTTACACCACTTATAACTCAAGAACCACAGAACAAATTTGGCTGAAAATTGGTGGGGAGGTAGATTAGAACCAGGAGACGGACATAGGATACTTTTACCTAATACTTTTTTTTTACTTTTTACCGAAAATTAAGAACGGGACCGGGAAATATCGGGATTGCGCGTACGAAGTCGCGGGCAGAAGCTAGTAATTATATAAAAGAAAGTCGTGTTAGTTACACTATTTATAACTTAAGAACGCCTCAATCGATTTAGATGAAAATTGGCAGGGAGGTAGCTTAGAACCAGGAGACGGACATAGGATACTTTTTATAGAATACTTTTTTTTACTTTTTACCGAAAATCACGAACGGGAACGGGGGGAAATGGGATTGCGCGTACGAAGTCGCGGGCAGGAGCTAGTACATAATAAACTTAAAAGAATAGAGAACAGAATAATAAAACATCACGGTGTAACAAAATAACAGTACGATAATAACAGAATTTTAATTAGTAAAAAAAAAAATTTGCGCGTGCTCATGCCAAAAGGGCCTCCACCTTAGCATAAAGTTGAGCGTTCCTGCCCAACGCTGGTTTTCAGGTGGCACTCTGCAGTGACTCACGGACGGCGGTACCGCCCCTCAATAAGAAAAGACAATAAATAAATATGAAATTTTGTAAATAATATAAA